AGAGCCATCACCAGCGATCTCCAGGTGTGCACATTAGCAGGAAGCTGGATCAGCAGGGGAGGCGCCAGGACTCAAATCGATACTCACACATACCACGTGGGTGTCCCAAGCAGCTTCTCAACGCTTGCACCAAATCCCTGCTCTGGAAAAGGACTTTTGAATAAAATGTGATATTTGAAGATTTAGCACTTTAGTCTGAGCTGATTCTCTAATTCACTTTTAGGAATCACTCTATAATTTTAGTGACTCTATGATACACACCCAAATTAATCCATGACCAAAACCAAAGTAAGGCTAACATAGTGGAAAGAAAAAATGTAAATATTTTTAAAAACTACAGCATATTTATGGTGCTCACTCTAGCTTCATTTTCCTTTTTTATTTTTTGCTTTTTTTGCACACAATTACCTTGTATTTTATTACTGTAAGTCACTGACTTTACCTTTTTCCAGAATTCTCTATATCCAAAGTTGGGAGGAAAAGTGTTTCCAGACTTAGCCCATTACATTTTTGCCTTTCTTTATCTGCTACTGAAAGATGGATACAGTGATAGCTTTAAAAGGCATCTTCACACAGCTCAGATGTAACTGTTAAGTTCAACAAATTGCTTGTTCTTGAAGATAATCTACTGCTAGAGTCTATCCAGACAATACCAAAATATCTTGCTGCCATTCTTTAATGGGATTGTTCGTTTTTCTCACGTTTATAGACTCAGTACTTTCAGCCTCCGGATCTGTTACGGTGTTTCTGTCCATCTGCAGGGTTAACAACTTTCACTACACACATGGACTGTCTCTTACAGTTCTTTCCTAGAATGTGGTTGTCCCACATCTGGTTGCTTTAACTCGTGGTTCTTTTAGAATAATTTTTGATTTGCTTGACCTTACCATAAAAACAGCAATGGATACTTGTTGTCTCAGTTCTCAAGACTGTTTAGAATTCGTCAGGCCCAACAGCGTCTTCCTTACTTAAAACTCCTTAGCATAGACTGAGGTGTCAGACTTTTGGTTTTGTTAGTCTTTGATTTCACTGTCTCATTCTAATGCTGATATTAATGCCCAAAATTAATGCCACAGTTTCCCTTTCTTTTAACTCTCTTTATTTTTCAATAACTAAAATTTTTCTTTTGAAAAAAGTTTAATGTGCCAAAAACATTATGGGTTTCTGCAAAGTTTTAATTTGATTTCCAAGAGCTAGAAAAGAAAACATTGATAAAACAGCATCCGGATATTTGTCGACCAAAATGATGCCAATTTGTAAATTAAAATGTCAAAAAAAAAGAGAAAAATTGATAATGATGTGAATTCCTGCTTCTGTTTATTTGCCATAGTAAACACAGGCTTTTAAGCCTTATTCTACAAGATGCATGTCCTCATTAAAATCAGGTTTCAATTGGCTTCTGTTGTATCAACTCATGATTAACCACACTAATGGAGAGAAGTAATGGCACGGAAAATTCAATGGGGACAAATCCAAAGAAATTTTGTGTATGTTTTCTTAAATTTTGCAGCAGACGCACCATCATCAAAATAGTGTTGGGGCGTGTGTTGTGGAGCACTGGGTTAGGCCGTCACCACTTGGAAGCCCATATCCCACTTCGGGGTGCTGGTTCCAGTCCTAGCTGCTCTGTGTCCAACATAACTCTCTGTTAAGGAACCTGGGAGGCAGCGGATGATGGCTCAAATATTTGGACCCCTGTTACTCAGGTGAGGGACTTGGATATAGTTCCCAGTTCCTGGATTTGCCCAGACCTGGCTTCTGCAGTCATTTAGGGACTGAACCAGTAGATGGAAGAAGGATCTCTCTCCTCTTCCTCACTCTCTCCAGCCCTCCCTTTCCCCCCTCCTTCATTCTGCCTTTCAAATAAATAAATCAGTCTTGTCAAAAAAATAGTAACACTTCGTCTGATCTGAAATTATTATAGTTTCCCAAAACTATTACTGTTTAGGTGGTTTTTTTTTTTTTAAAAAGCAAACTGGAAACGTGATTGATGAACAGAAGCTAACAGTATATTTAAAAAATTGTCGCAGCTCCACTGAAATGTGGATAAAGTATGTGTAAACAATCGGTGCATTTTTACCTAGAAGAGTTTGCAGGTAGAAATGCTTGCTTGTGGATGTAAATATGTATCTATATGTTCATGTATGTACTTAATTTATGAGCAGTTTACATAAATATGCAGAAAAGTTATGACAATAATATTATGAAGCATTGACAAGCATTTTCATTAGTGATTCTTTAATTTCCACATACTTTATAGAATATTCTATACAAACTGAAGGAAAAGGCAACTTAAAATATATATGGTGGGACCGGGGCTGTGGCGCATTGGGTTAACGCTCTGGCCTGAAGCACTGGCATCCCATATGGGAACCAGTTCAAGACCCGGCTGCTCCGCTTCCAATCCAGTTCTCTGCTATGACCTGGGATAGCAGAGGAAGATGGTCCAAGTCCTTAGGCCCCTGCACCCATGTGGGAGACCCAGAAGAAGCTCCTGGCTTTGAATCAGCATAGCTCCAGCCATTGTGGCCAATTGGGGAGTGAATCATCGGATGCAAGACTCTCTCTCTCTCTCTCTCTTCCTCTCCTCTCTCTGTGTAACTCTGACTTTCGAATAAATAAATAAATCTTTCAAAAAATTAAATAAATATGGTAAAAATGGTATAAATACCAGAAAAATAAGTAATTCCAAATATTTTCCTCAATGTTTTCAGGCAACATGTATCCCCTCAAAAAAAAAAAAAAAAAAAAGGAAGAGAGAAATAGGAGAAAATCAACTTCTATTGATAATAGGATTATCCTTAAACAATGAAGAAGCAAAATATATTAAAAATCATAACCTCTCATAAAAATGTGCTGTTATTTCATATTCAACAGATCAATCAGCTTTTGAAACAGATAGATACTTGACAGAAGAGTCTGTCATCAGGAAAAGAACTAGAAATTAACATATCTCAAGTCTTCCATCCAGATGACAAGCACTGTCTGTCTTATTCAGAGCCAGGTGGGAACAGGATAAATTGGCTTGCTCCTCAGTGTGAGTCACAACTGATTCAGTTAATTTGACTCAAAAGCAAAAACAACATGTGTATCTCAATTTACTTTTTTTCTATTTACATTTTTTAAATGAAATATTCTCATGTGTGTTAACTATAATATGCTCATTCAAAACTCAAGATCTGAGAATCTACAAAATATTAACACACAGGAATAAAGCAAATAGTTGTTCTTAATGTTTGCTAAGGTAAAAGCTATTTTTAAAACACAGACTTCCAAGTATCATTGTTATGCCATTATTTCGTTTTAATTCTATCATATGAGTGGCAGCAGAGTACAGTGGTTAGGGTGAGGAAATGGGGTTTGGGGCTCAGACTGTGTGACCTTAAATCCTGGCCCTAACACTCTGTAGGACTCTCACCCGGAAAGGAGCTTAACCTGCTTTCAAGCCCCAGCTTCCTCGTCTGCCTTGTGGAATTACTGAAATGATTAAGTGAATACAGCCACACACACACAAAATCAAATCCTTGCAATTGTGACTGAATATAGGACATCCTTCATAAATATTAGCTATTATCCTATCATGAATTGTTCCTTGCCTGATAAAAATGATTTTTTTAACAAGCTAGAGGTTAAAAGCCTGTTTAAAATTTAAAGTAAATCAGAATTATGGTATATCTCAGTTGAAATCCTCCCCTAAAGCAGTCATTTCTTTTTAAATGAGAGATAAATCAGAACACAGTCACACACACAAAAAGGAAAAACCAAAGTGTCTTTATTATAACTGGATGCACCAAGTATGGCAAATTTAATTCTTAACATCCGTTTCATGGATAACTCCCATTTTTCAAGGTTTATGATTCCATCATAAAAATTCATTTCCCAAGAAAGCTGGCAAATACATCTCAGTCTGCATGTCATTATTTTTTCATTGCCTGTCATCTAATGTACTGGCTTTACTTATTGGTAACCAAGTCAAAATTAGTCTGTGGGCTTTTTTTTAGAATTTTAAAAGACAGATTGCACAAATTAAAAAACTGGTAACAATAGTGAAACCACACAGGTAATTTCCATGGGGGAGTGAATGTGAATGACTTTCAGACCCCAGGTGAGCAACCGTGTTGCTGAGAGTCTGTGGCGAAGTCCACACAGGCTGGTTCTCACCCTTGGAGGCTTGGGTCATCCCAAAGAGGAAGTCAAGGACGGGAAACAGCAAAAACCAAAAACCCCCTTCAGTGATCTCCTGTGGCCCCATCACTCAACAGTTCACCCACATATTCTGGAAAACGTTGCCTATTTTTAAATGTTAGCACTTCATGGAATCTCATCTTCCACCTTCCTATAACCTATGTAAGGCAGAAAGCCCCCTGGTTCTAATATTGTAGAATTTAATACATAAATCTCTTCGGTCATTAATGTAACCAACCCTGCACGGAGTTTGATGTCTGAATCCCCAGTGCACACCTGGGAAACCATTTTCCCTGCTTCTCTGCTTAGGGTAAGTAAGGAAAACTGCAAGCTGTGCATTCAGGGGTGGGGTCCCTCATCTTATAAAAGGCTTTTCCTTTTGACTTTTGCTTAGGCCTAACAGAAACTAATTGGATTGGTCTGGCCCACTTTCAGTACCATCATGTATTAATAGGAAAACAGGCAGAAAAGTCACCCATTTGGGAATTTTGCACAAATATCTCTATTATCTGTGAACACACTCGAACCTGGGCTGAAGTGACTTGCAAGAACCAGCAAGCAGGAACATGGGGAGGATCAGAAGCCCACATAAGGAACCTGATTCATGTATAAAAATGAAAGGCATCCCAACATAATCATGATTCCTAATTAGCTTATTGGTAATTATATTACACTGGTAGGGAAGCAATTGCAGCATCAATTTTTCCAGTCATGTAAGTTCTCCTATTTAAAATTAAGCAGACAATAAATATAATCTTCAAAGTACCACGGTTATAAAATGTAAGATTTTTATTTTAAAATAATTAGACTCTTACCCTGATCAAAGGGTTTCCCTGGACTCCAGGTGCGGAAATAATCATCCTATGGAGGGAAATAATGTGAATTGAGTATACATGAGTGATTAAAATGTACGGATTCATATAAAATCTAAAATTAAATATGAGACACAGAAGCAATATACAAACCTCTACTTCCTGTAATGGCAAGCAGCAAATTATAAAATAAATAAATAAAAAAATGAGAAAGAACAAGAGAAAAAGAATAGTTATCAAAAAGAAACACACTGTTTACAAGTTACAGAAGCATCTTTCAATAAATGTATTCATGTTCATTGCAAGACAATGGTTACCATAACAATTTAACTATTTTTGGTCACCATGTCTCCTAAATGTTATAATCCATGGCTTTCTATTGTAATTCAATGTGTAATATAACATGCAGATAATTATCTTAAGCTAACAAGCTATAAAGTATCTTACCAGTTTCCAATTATACAACTTCATTTTCCACTAGCACAATAGTAAATGGAACCATTAATAGAAGAAGGAAAATATCAAGTGATTCCGCAGTAGCCCATAGAGTGTAAATATGCTTCATGCAAATCATTCACATGTTAATTGAATAGCTAAGGAGTTCATCAAAATGCAACTGGGCGCTTGAAAAAACAGCACACCTAATTAAATCCTGCCTAACATGTGAATCTTTAATACAGAAAAGAACCAGTAAAGTATATTCATTGTATTTTTCATAAACCTCAAGGTATAACACAAAACTGGAGCAATGTGTATTGAAAAGAATAAAAAAAGCAATGCCAAATAGATTAAATCTATTTTATTTTCTGTTTTTATCACTCTAAAAGCTTTGTAAAAGTACTTCATGCATAGTATCCTCTATTGTAAACAAACACTGTTTCACAGATAAACTAACAAACTGTTTTCACTAGAGCCATCAGCTATAAGAAACAGGGGCACAACGGTGACACCATAGCATTTACCAGTGCCACATTCTTAGACCCACCAAAGTCTGGCAGACAAAAGGCCTGGGAACCTGGACAATCCACAAAAGCCATACAGACATCCATTGCATTTTCTTCTAACCTCTTTCAATCCTCTTCCTTTCTTTTTTTTTTAAGATTTATTATCTATTTGTAAAAGGCAAAAGATTTATACGATCTGAAGAGAAACTGGAGTATAGATTTATTATTTATTTGAAAGGCAGAACAAGAGTGGATACAGAAAGGGAGAGAGACCTGCCAGCTACTAGTTCACTCCACAAACAGTCGCAACACCCAGGGCTGGACCAGGAACCAAGAATTCTATCTGATTGTAGTTGGATTCTTCCACACGGGTGCAGGGATCCAAGAACTTGGACTATTTTCCACTTCCTTCCCAGGTGCGTTGGTAGGAAAGTGGATCAGAAGCAGAACAGCAGGAACTGGAACCACAGTTCTGATATGGGAGGACGCCATCGCAATCTGTGGTTTACTCAGTTGTACCACTAGGTTGGCCCCCAATCCTCTTGAGAATTTCTTTGCTAGCACTCTCCAGTGTATTACACAGGGAGTGTAGTACACACTTTTAAAAAATCTACGTATTTGAAAGCAGAGTGAAAGAGAGAGAAATCTCCGCCAACCTCTGGTCCAGTGCCCAATGGTGGCAATACCTGGGATTGGGGATGGCGGAACCTCGTAGTTGGAACCTCATCGGCATCTCACAAAGCATTGGTAGGAACCCCAGTACGCGGGCCATCATCCACCCTTGCAGGAAGCTGGATGGGAAGCTGGAGAGCTGAGACGTGAACCAGACACTCTGATATGGGAAAGGAGGATCCCGGTCAGCACTGCACCACAACATCCGCCCCCATGTTTTATTCATGGAAATAAAGGAAATCATTCAACTTATTTATGAAAAAAATCTACATTTTGTTTCAAAGGATTTTCTATTGTGACTGCTCACTACCAACTTCTGCACGCAGACCCAGCCAATTTCAAAAGAAAAGCCATAGAAGGCATGTTTGGCAGTTGTACATTTATGCCCAGAGTTAGCTTAAGCGAGGGGGTGAATTCTGGTATCCATGCTAATATTTTCTGCATGAAATTATCCGGGGCTATGACGGGATAAAGAAAATGTGGTACATATACACTATGGAATACTATTCAGCCACAAAAAAGAATGAAGTCCTGTTTTTTGCAACAAAATGGATGCAACTGGAAACCACTAGGCTTAGTGAAATCAGCCAGTTTCAAGAAGACAGCTATCATGTGCTTTCTTTGATGACATGGCAGCTAATATAGAATGCCAAAAAATGACAGGAATGAAATGGTCATTTGGGGATATGATTGCTGTTTTAGCCCTTGTTTGTACTCCTATGGAACTGAGGGCCTTATACATTTTACTTGTTGAATACTACAAATAGTGTTGAGTTAAGCTTGTGACTGTAGAGTGGATTTAAATGGTATCTTACAAAAACTGATGAAGACAGTTTATGGAGGGAGGGGAGAGAGGAGGGGAGGGAGGAAAATGCGGTTGTCTTCTTGGAACTGTACCTATGGAATGTATAAAGTGAATTCTCTTTGTATTAGTAATAATAATAATAATAATAAACTTGATGGCAGACAGGAAGTAACAGTGCAGGTCTGGAAGTTTCTTTAGAAATTTAGCTCTCACGGACAAAATCAGAAGACATCCCCACAATGAAAGAAACATATGAGGGAGGGGAGGGAAGGAAGGGGAGGAAGGGAAGGGAAGGGGAGGGGAGGAAAGGGGAAGGGAGGGAAGGGGAGAAAAGGGGAGGGAGGGAGGGGAAGGGAGGGAAGGGAGGGAGGGGAGGGAGGGGAGGGGAGGGGAGAAAAGGGGAGGGAGGGGAGGGGAAGGGAGGGGAGGAAAGGAAGGGAAGGGAGGGGAGGGAAGGGAGGGAGGGGAGGGAGGGGAGGGAAGGGAAGGGGAGGGGAGGGGAGGGAGGGGAGGGGAGGGAAGGGAGGGTAGGGGAGGGAAGGGAGGGGAAGGGAAGGGAAGGGAAGGGAAGGGAAGGAAGGGAAGGGAAGGGAGGGGAGAGGAGGGGAGAGGAGGGGAGGGGAGAGGAGGGGAGGGAAATCTGGTAAATGTTGCATGAAGTGAACTTTCGAAAAGCCTGTATTGAGGACTGTGATTAATGCAAGAAGTCATGCGCTACTGCTATCACCTTGGGCCATTTTGGTATTATAGCCTTGCCAGCTGCATCACCCAAAAAGATGGGGTAAGGTTTTATTACAGTAATGATTCCACTCATATAAGCATCAAAGAGCCCTAGAAGATAGACTAGTTATGCAATTAAAATTGTTAACATTGAAGTTGGGTGATGTGAATGCAACACTTTTAACACAATACTCAACGTCTAAAATACTGAAGATCCGTATAGATGAGCAGGGATTAGGTAAACACAAGAAAATACATCAAAAATTTCACGGGAAATGGAATCCAATGGTAAGTTTGTCTTGGTGCACAATATTTTTTTTTTTTTTTTGACAGGCAGAGTGGACAGTGAGAGAGAGAGACAGAGAGAAAGGTCTTCCTTTGCAGTTGGTTCACCCTCCAATGGCCGCCGCGGCCAGCGCGCTGATCCAATGGCAGGAGCCAGGTGCTTCTCCTGGTCTCCCATGGGGTGCAGGGCCCAAGGACTTGGGCCATCCTCCACTGCACTCCCTGGCCACAGCAGAGAGCTGGCCTGGAAGAGGGGCAACCGGGACAGAATCCAGCGCCCTGACCGGGACTAGAACCCGGTGTGCCGGCGCTGCAAGGCGGAGGATTAGCCTAGTGAGCCGCGGCGCCGGCCGGTGCACAATATTTTGAAATCCATGCATATAAGGGGTCTCCAAAAAGTTCACAGAAGTGTATAATAAGAAAAATTTGTGCATGGATTTCAAAAACATTGTTTCAAAATAAATTTATATTCTAATTCCATTTGCCATGAACTTTTCAAAACAACCTCATATATTAAAAATACCACAGTGAAATCTAATCTGACTGCATTTAATTAATTTCTTTCTGGATATTATGACTGTGTTTGGTTAGTTTGGGATATACCTATATAAAAATCTATAATCACAGTTTAAAACATGAACTTGGTTCTTTTGGCTATGTCAAGGGCATCCTCAAAGTGTGGCCACTGCAGGGATCTAATAGTGTGGAAATGCAAAGTCCTTTGCCTATTGCCTACTGGGCTATTTTTAGACACATTCTTATGTTCTCCAGTCACTGGCCTTGTTTTCTTGTTTTGTTTGGCTTGGTTTTTGTTGTTGTTGTTTGTTTTTTGCGTTTTCTTGCTTAACTTCACTAAGTCTAAGGAATTTTTTTCAGGATGAGATAGAGCACTGTTTTTACTTAAGTGTTCACTTAGGCACAGTATCTTCTATTCCCAAACCATCTGTATAACTACTAAGTGTTCTCTGGCTTCAGTTTAGATCTCATATAAGCCAACCACGGATTCAACAAACAACTGCAAGAAATGTCCCCAGCTGGAAACATTCAAGTTTAGACCACTGCAACCAAGCCCAAATAACAAAGACCAGGAGAATTTAATAGTGTATACCTTTGAACATTTTCTACTTAAAGAAATATCAGTTGTTAGTTTTTCAAAAATCATTATCTTAGTAAGAAAATTTGCATGTTATACTATTTCTGTTGTCTTTTTTCTTGTTATAATGATGTATCTTTTTTCTGATTTTAAATAAAATAAATATTTGATAGGGAACACAGTTTCTCAACTTTAGGATTGTTGATATTTTTGGCAGGATAATTCTTCACTGTGCTGGAACATAGGGGCACCTGCTTTGTCTACACCCATAAGATCTCAGCAGGGACGTTCCCCAAGGTATGGCAAACAAATGTCACCAGACACTGCCAAATGTCCTCTGGGGGAACAGCACCCATCTGAGGACCATTTGTGTAGAGTTATTGGGAAAAACAGAAACAACAATGAGTCCAAACACCCTGCAACAGGAACTGCTCCCAGTAACAGATTTTCTCCTCAAGTGCTTTATAATAGGAAAGCAGTGGGTGATGGCCCAATTACTAGGGCCCCTGCAACCCACATGGGAGACCCCA